CTTATGGCCTATTCCCATTGCGATTTCCGACTCCGGAATCCGGCTCAGAGCCGGCGAGCGAAATTTTGGCGCCGAGCCCCTAAAAAACGGGGAAGCAGTATCGTAGCGCAAACTGCGAGGTATATAGGGAATAGCGTGTAAGAAAAAATATTGCTGGGTGTCGTTCAAGGGGCCCTGCTGGGTCCGAGAGCGGCGAACCGAGAGTGGGAGAAAAATCCGGCAGCGGAAAAGCAAGAGTGAGGGAAAATCCGCCAGCCGAAAAGGAAAGAGTGGGGAAAAATCCGGCAGCGGAAAAGGAAAGCGTATACGACTGTCCTTTTCGGCTGGCGGATTTTCCCTCACTCTTGCTTTTCCGCTGCCGGATTTTTCTCCCACTCTCGGTTCGCCGCTCTCGGACCCAGCAGGGCCCCTTGAACGACACCCAGCAATATTTTTTCTTACACGCTATTTCCTATATACCTCGCAGTTTGCGCTACGGTACTGCTTCCCCATTTTTTAGGGGCTCGGCGCCAAAATTTCGCTCGCCGGCTCTGAGCCGGATTCCGGCGTCGGAAATCGCAATGGGAATAGGCCATTAGGCAGAATACCCTATACATAGGACTGTGTGGTACCATTGAAGATACAGATATTGCGCGGTCATAACCAAGTAGTTACTGTTTAGAATTTAATTTATGCAATAATTGATACAGTAATTTGTGCAACGTTTCATCTTTAAAATAAATAATATGGTGTTTATTATTTTGGTCAATTTCGTGGTTAACATTGACATTCTGCCACGTCGTGTCGATTTCAGTCACCTAACAAATTTTACGACCTCGCTATATCCTTCGATTATACTGTACAAGTTGTTCAGCGATGATAGAAGCAAAACCTAAACACCCGTCGCTTTGTGATTAATGAAGATTTTTGAAATTGAAATCGATATGTATAGAATTGTTTGTTTAATTTCAGCTGAATGCATTTTTCATGGAAAGGCAACTGATGCATCAGGTAACACATGTCGCGGTAGCTGCGACAGCAAACATGATATGGATTATGAAGTACAAGTCAACTATAGATGAATGGTTGGGTGCTAACATTAATTTATTTGAGAACCCCGATAACGGAGGTAATTCTCATTCCGAGCTTATTA